GTGAGTACTTTACACGCAAAATAGATTTGTCTTTATAGGTCCACAATATCGTATATCCCCACATATCGGCACCTTCTTATATTAGATATTTTAAAGATTTTAAAATAATTTTTAATGGATTTTATTTTTTTTTTTTTTTTTTGAAAATTTTCTAATTCGTTCCAAATGGTGGAGGGTATTCAAAGTTCGGCCCGGCCGAACTTACTGCTTTTTTACTTGTCTCGATTTAATCTACCTGATAGGGTTACCTTGTAATTGTACTATGGGCTAAAACCATGGTAGAAGAACGCAGGTAGTCGCATCGACACAATCACCCTTATTATGGTTGGCGATGTCGTAGGCGTTCAAGTGTCGTAAACGTTGTCGTAACTAGAATTTTTTGGTATTATGTACAATTTTCGACTACGTCTTTTTCGTAATAGATATAAAAAAGCAGGATGCTCTGGAATAATAAACATTTAATAAAAGAAATAAAAGCGTCAGTTGAAATGGTTTATTATTTGTTTAAATAAATATGGAAACATGTTATGTCCTGGAAATTTTTTAGCTGAGGATGAAAATGAATATATTCAAAATGATTTAAACGTGAGGCGAAAAATAATGCGGGTTATTTGTGCTTACAGAGGGAAGCGTACAGACATCCTGGATGACCACAACCTGCTTCTGTTGCATATTTCAGTCTAGTCTGTTTACGCTTGGAGGAGTCAGTGTGCATTGTGGTTTTCTTTGTCTTCACTAACTTCAAACCCTTCAAACAGTTCCTCCTCAGTCTCCAGTTCACCAAGTGTTGGACGCTGTTGAATTGCAATTGCTTGGTTCCCTGCATTTACAATTGTCTCTAATTGTAACAAGCGTGATGCTGCTTCCTCCGTGTCGCTTAAAATGAACTGCTTGAAGGGCCCTCCACCTGTAGCACGACATTATGCCTTGTTATGAACTAGTTTCTTCCTCAATTTGAAATGCGTTACATATATGCGTTTAAATATAGCGCCCATATATATCTTCGTCCGATTTGCCTTTTATTGTACATCAAACGTGTAATATCAGCCCGAATAGTATGGAATTTTCAACATAGGCCAAATTGGGCCTGAAAATAAGTATGCCAAATTTGAAATCGAAATCGAATCGAAATCGTTCAGATATAGCTATAGCTCCCATACGTGATGTTCATTCGATTTGTTGTTTTTGTCCTCCGCAGCCGTAATATGCACTCTGTAACAAAAATATTTGGAGAAATATATAAAATACAGCTCAAAAATACATTTGCTAAATTTTATCGAGATCGGTTAAGATTTGGATATAGCACCCATATATAATTTCATTCGATTTACATTTTACGCCTAATATTTGTCCAAATGGGATGGAATTTGGCACATACGACCGAATTGAGTCTAGAAGTTAGTATGTCAAATTTGGTGAAGATAGGTTCAGATATAGCTCCCATATATACTGTTCATCCGATTTGTTATATTTGTTACACACAGCCGTAATATGCACTCCGTAACAACGATATATCAAATACAGCTCAGAAATATCTTTGCCAAATTTTATCGAGATCGGTTCAGATTTGGATGTAGCTCCCATATATATCTTTATCCGATTTCAAATTAATTGTGCACCAAATGGGCAATACAAGTCCGAATTTAAAAGATACAAATTATTCGGCATATTTAGTCCTTTGAACTATAAATTATAATTATAATCATAGTGTATATGATTGAATTTTCCCATAAAAACTTTTAATTGTTATGCGGAGCTCTACTAAATTAGGAAAGTGGTGTAGGGTATCATAAAGTCAGCCCCGCCCTACTTTAAGACTTTCTTTACTGGTTACCATTGTTTTTTCGGGGCGATCGAGAAGCTGCAATAGTAGTTACATCAGTCTTGTCATCGGTATTGTCCATTTACTCATTTTCATGGACTATAACGTCTGTTACACTTATTTTCCGTATTTTCTATTTCTGGTGGATTCAGTAACTTTTGAAACTGCATTACAATCGCGACAGACTCCTCTCAATGCGATAAAGTCATTTGCTCACCTTCAGTGCTGCTGGTTTCACCCTTATTCTGCACAATTTTTTTTTTGTTTTCAATTTTAAATTTTTCCGAACTTAAAAGAATTTTAGAAAACTAATAAAAACATGCAGAAATAATTTTAATTTTAACATACTTTTTGCCAGCCATCGGAGTCTCTAATCAGGGGCCCGTTTACATTTAATTTTGTAGCAATGGATTCCCAATCTGATTTAAAATTAGCTGGAACGTGACCTTTGGTAAACCCCTTTGCCAATCATGGTTTTTTTCCAACTCGGAAACCAACATTTCAAATTATTATATATAATAGCAATCATTTGTCGCTATCGACAACCCTAATATCATTATTGTCAACTCGACTTCATTTTGCGACGACGACAACCGTAATAGGACCGATTATAGTTCTTATTGCGTAAATTTTCTCAGGAAGAATTTTTAAACTCACATTAGCCCAGTATGAAAATCATTTATTGGACTTTAATTGGTTATCAAATAACTGATCTGTTCCAGAACATACAATGAATATTCTTGCGGTTAAAGAGCAATTTTGACATTTGTCTTTCTGACAGTTTGGAAAAATGTACTCAGTAAAAACCAGCCCAGTTAATTGAAAAAACAGCTGTATTATGGCTGATGCAAAAATGTTGACAAATTTCAGGCAATAAGTTACTTATTTTTATTATTTTGCACATAATAAGCATTGTATTACACCATTAAATAAATAATTGTTAATGAAAAATTGCAACCATGATTCCAATTGCCCGCCAATTCTCATCAAGTTGAAAGCATTCGTTGCTGGAAACAGCTGATTTCTTGCTAGTTTTTGTTTACATTCCTCTGTTCCAGAATCTACAAGTTATCATAAAGGGACAATCGGATATCGTAGTAAAAACTTTTACATTAATATTAAGTAATTTGTAATAGAAATTTTATCGCACATATCCATTGTGTAGGGCGTGTCTATTAGAATCGCAATATCATTGAAATGGTAACTCATAGGATGAAAATCAATGCAAAATATAAATTGTCAAATGAAAAATAAATTGTTTTGAATTTCCTGTCAAAATGTTTTGGTAGAATATTTATTTTTATTCGAGCGGTCGATGAGGAAGGTGCTGCCGGATATTTTTATGAATACATCGTTAGAAATATTGGTGTATATAAATAAAACTTCCTACATATTTGAAACAAATATTTCCGAAATTGTAAAAACTACAACTGTTAAGATTTATCTTTTTGATTCAATTTTATTTGACAAAATTTGTATTAGAATTCACATGTTAGGAGTAGGAATTCATTTCATATTGACCGCCAATTAATTGTCCTTCTAAATTAGTAGACATATTCATATCGCCTGATTTCTATGAAATGACATGTACGTTGTTAGTCAAGATTAGGAAAAAAAAGATGTGATGTTTATCATTCTGTTTGTAATTCATAGAAATAAACCTTCAGGACATAACACAGGATATGAGTTTTTGATCAGTGTAAAATTCTAATACTATTTGCATATGCCTGTATGTCAGCCTGTAGTAATCGGTATTATTTTTCGTTGCTAATGAAAGGTGTCTTTTCATAAGTAAAGCAAAATAAATAATATAAAAGCAAACTGCATTGTATTAAATAAACTCAGGAAATAGAATCTAAAAAAAAACCTGCTAAAAAATCCTTTTTATTAAGAATTTTTGCAAAATAGTTTTTTCTACTTTATCCTCTTTTTCCCCAAGCACATAAATCGGTTTGTTATAGTGTTAACCACAACAAGTGCATGTCACTCTCTCATACGGAAGGGAGAAATGTAAGTGAGAACGGGCAAAACGTATATCTTAAGTTGACTTCGACAGATTTCAGCTCAACCGCACTAAAACGCCACGAAAGCTGGTATCAAGGTAGTTCTAACAGGTAACCGCATCGGCGAATTGCTACAACAAAGCAACTTTTGTGGTACCCTCAAATGTCAAAATTGGCATCTAAGGCGAAAAACATAGATTCGCCATGACATTTACAGGTTGCGGCAAATCAGAAACGAGGTGTTTGCTTACATTTTATTTTGTGTGCCTCTCGTCGTAAATGAACGTTGCAATAAAAGTTTTTATTGTAAAACAAATAAGTGTGAAATAAGTATTAATTGCGATATTTTTTAAACCAAGAAACTTATAATAACTATATTTTACCGGTTTAAACCGAAAGTTTTCCGGAACTGCAAATGGCAAGAGTCGAATTCTTGCACTACTTCCCGTGATGTGCTTTGGAAATCTTAGATGTTGAGGCTAACTTTATTCTGCACTCCATTCTAACCTCCTTCCTTCATTTTCTTTTAATTTTTTTTTTACTGATTTTACTCTAAACTTGCTCTTAAATTATTTGAAATATTATAAAAAGGTACTTTTGGGGAAGACAACATAAACAAATTTGTTGTTGCATTCATTAGGGCGAATTCTTCATTGTACAGCTAAACCTTAAAGCCGTTCTAAATCGGCATCGCCGAGTGTTTTTCATGACAACAATTTGCCGCAAAAAATACAACTCTTCACTTACATGTATTGTCAAATCTTGTTTCTTAGGGCAAAAAAAGTATTTCGCCTCGACAGAATAACATTGCAGCGAATTTCTGTTTTGTCAAGTTTGACAATGTTTCTGTGCAATGTAATAAAATAAATAAAAACAACGAGGATTTAGAGATATCTCTTGATATTTTTGCATGTTTGCCATACCAGAAGTAGCCTTAGAAGATCTGAATGCAGCTTCATCATGATTTAGCCATGACTTGTGCCAGAAAGCTAAGATTTTGTACTGAGCTGTTTTTTATTTACAGCCAAACTCAAAGCTCATTTAAGAAATTGTTCGAAATTTGGTATAAAAGTTGTCTATATTCTTGTCATATTTGATATTGTCATGAGTTTTAACATATTTATATCAAATTATTGGCCAACAAGAACTTTGCGATTGCAAATGGACAGACTGGATTATTTTTGTTTTTAAATTTGTTTTATTTTTATTTCCTGTCAATTTTTTTCACGGAATAGGTGTTCTCTTTTTTATCGTCATACAGACGGATATCGCTACATCATGAAATGCAGAGACATGATTGGTGTACCAACTCCGTAGCTGTTCGGATAAGGTTCAATTGTTGTGGTCCTAGCTCTGGCATAGCCATTGACCGACTGCATCACATATGCCTTATTAAAATGGTCTATGCAAACTTTTGATATAACTGCAAATTTGATTTGGCACATTTGACTCCACTTTTCTCTCGCGTTTTCATCTCTGGGAACAGAGAAAAAAATTATTGCCTTTTTAGAGTTTTTTTTATTTTGCATATCTTGCAAATACCTTTCTATTTGTTTTTAAAATTTGACAAAATAAACTGATAAAAATTACGGACAATTAATTATTGACATCTTTTATAGTTGTCAGGCGAATTCAAATTATGTTGACAGAAAATATAGGTATCAGCTGGTCTTACTTGTCGACCTTATAATTGGGCCATGCTCCCAACCAAGGTAGATCTAACAGGTAACCGCATCGGCGAATTGCTACAACAAAGCAACCTTTGTGGTCCCCTCAAATGTCAAAATTGGCATCTAAGGCGAAAAACATAGATTCGCCATGACATTTAAAGGTCGCGGCAAATTTTTTCAACCAATCAGAAACGAGGTGTTTGTTTACATTTTATTTTGTGTGCCTCTCGTCGTAAATGAACGTCGCAATAAAAGTTTTTATTGTAAAACAAATAAGAGTAAAATAAGTATTAATTGTAGTATTGCGATATTTTTAAACCAAGAAACTTATAATGACTATATTTTACTGGTTTAAACCGAAAGTTTTCCGGAACTGCAAACGACAAGAGTCGAATTCTTGCACTACTTCCCGTGACGTGCTTTGGGAATCTTAGATATTGAGGCTAACTTAATTCTTAAAGCTGCACTCCATTCTAACCTCCTTCCTTCATTTTCTTTTAATTTTTTTACTGGTTTCACTCTAAACTTGCTCTTAAATTATTTGAAATTTTTTAGAGAAGACAACATAAACAAATTTGTTGTTGCATTCATTTAGGGCGAATTCTTCATTACAACAATTTGTTTTGACATTTAATGGTGCCGTCAGCTGGGCTGATGCGATTACCTAGTACATCTACCTTGCTCCCAACGAAACAAGAGAAATAGTCATATAAACAAAACAATGTAAACACGCCCAAAATAAATTCTATAAAGGTGCTATTACACGATACATCAAGAAACTATCGCTTCAAGTAAGCATGCGTCTCTTTGAAAAAACAAGAAGCAAAACAAAGTTCCTCCAGACATAGACCGACATATCTTAGTAACAAAGCGAAAGGCTAGTTCTAGAACTCCAACCAAGGAACCAAATGCTAAAACCCAAAAGTCTATAAACAATGACAGCAACAACAGATTCTCAATTCTCGGCTCGAATAGCAAGACTGATGAAATGATACAACCGGTTAGATCCCAAAAACCTCCCCCACTATATCTTCGCTAAAGGGCTGCAAATGTGACAATTTTCTCTATTTTTGCAATGGAGAGTAAACGCTTGTCATATTGTGTCCTGTTTGATCAAACACATAACAGTACGTGACATCCAACTAAATGCTCGTCATGTCGGTCACACTCCAACCCATCGTCATAACATGTAATGACCAATAAAAGGGGATGTATAATAGGATGTCATACAAAAATGTTCTATCAAGAAACCAACAACAATTATGAAACAATTGCCAAAGAAAGAGACACATACGTGATGAAAGCAAAGCGCAATCGCTACCTGTTTTTTTTTTTTTGATATATAAAAAAATACATTTTTTTGTAATAAAGTATTTCTTGGGATTACTAACACATTTCAGGTACTTCCAATTGGTTCACCCAAAATTTTCACATTTCGTGGTTATTGACGAAACAATCCAAAATGTCAATCCTTATTAAAAAACAATAATCACCTGACAATTTTTCTTAATAAATACACGGTTTGGTTTTTCTTATTTGGATCATAATTTCATACATTTTTGCCTCTAGTACTGAGGTGTAAATGAAAATGAGTGCTACATTAATTCACGTAGACAATAATTTGCGATTGTCCAGTATATTTTCCATTTTTTCTATTCATTTGTTGATGTCTGTGCATATTCTGTTAATCATGTGCTTTCTATTTGTTATTGAATGAGAGTCATATCTGCCCTCATCTAATAATAATAAGAATATTTTTTAATTATTGGTTTGGTATTCAATTTTATATTTACGCTGTGTTTGTTACTTCAAAATTACAGCACACACAAAAACACATCCTCATCGTCGAAAGTAACACACACACACACTCTCTCAATTTAATCACACGTACACAAATGACACACAATTTGACGATGACACGGTTCAATGTCATCGTCGACACCCTGCATTTATGGAAAACACCATGCAAATATTCGAGTCAGCCATGCCACGATCGAACCTTAGACAATGGCACACATGAATCAAAATGGGGGATGTTGTTGGCTGTCATTGCCTATCAAATACATAGCACATGATTGAATTGACAAAGTCAGGGTATCGAAAAAAGCATAATTCATACAATTCGTCTTTAATATTCGCGAAGAAACTACAAACAATCTGGTGAACAAACTCTCCCAAATATTAGGTAAACCTAATTTTCACGTGGTATCTCTTAAGAGAGGAAATCTCCAAGAGACGAAAATACAAACTTATACTGAGTCACATTATAAGGACCTAGTTCGTGCTCTGGATTCTGAGAAGAAGAATTATTACACCTATCAGATCAATAGTAATGATTCCGAAAAGTGGAAAAGATCCAACGCAGGTAAAATCGTATAGACCCATCAGTCTTCTATCTATACTCTCAAAGCTGTTCGATACAACATTACTACTCCCCATATTACACGTAGCAATATTATCCCCGAACACCAATTCGACTTCCGTAAGAACCAAAGTACTATTGAGCAAGTGCACCGCATAGTCACAAACATTAGAATGACATTCGAAAGGAAGGAATACTGCTCCGCGTTATTTATAGACATTTCCTAAGCGTTTGACAGAGTCTGGCATCTTGGAATTCTATACAAAATTTGTGAAACTCTACCTAAAAACGCTCATAAACGTTTCGTACGTTTGTTGTTAAATCGAAAGACGTACTTTCAAATTCGAGAAAAATATTGGCTGGCGTCCCACAGGGTAGTATCTTAGGACCAATTCTGTGTGTTATTTACTGCCGATATGCCCACAACCAATGAAACTCTAACCTCAACGTTTGCTGATGATACTGCTTTCAGTAGCATACACAAGAATCCTCTGATTGCGTCGGAAAAACTACAATACCATGTATATCTTCTCGAAAATTGGCTAACAAAATGGAGAAATCGGAAATGCAAGCAAGTGTATACACGTTACTTTTGCACTAAGACGTGAACTTTCCCCACGATAAAAATCTTTAATACTCTGGACCGAAGACTTACATGGAAGCAACACATCGATGCAAAAATCACCCAAATTAAACTAAAAAAGGCCAATCTTGAGTGGTTAATTGGTATACGTTCTTCTATTAAATTAGATTACAAAATCCTATTATATAAGACTGTAATAAAGCAAATTTGGACTTATGACATACAGCTCTGGGCACAGCTAGTGCCTCTAACGTAACTAAACTACAAAGAAGACAATCTAATATTCTTCGATCTATTACATGTGTACCATTGTACATAAGGAACGCAAACATCCACAAGAACCTAAATATACTTACTGTTGAAGAAGAAATAAAGAAGCTTTGCCGAAAGTGCTTAAACAAACTATCCGAGCACCCAAATAGTTTGGCCCGCCAACTCGTACTATTCGGAGGACACGATAGACTGCGCAGACGTGACACTCTTTCTATCATATAGTTTATTGTTTTGTTTTACTCTGTCATTATTTTCAGCTCTTGTCTGCCCAATTGGACGTCGCCCGCTGTTATACTTCTACAGGTAGTAGTATGCTAAATTGGAAGCTGCTTCTGTGAAGAAATCGATATGACTATTACTGTAGTCCGCGGGATGATTAGATATAACTGTATCTAAACAAAGCAACATTATATCCGTAAGACTATTTCTGTAGTCCGCGATTCACTTAGATATAACTGTATCTAAACTAATCTTAACTACCTACTCAATAAATTCATGGATGTATCTGTATCCACAAGTCCACAAAAAAAACACATCTATATCATAAAAAAATTAACAATAATTAATAATTAAAGCATGAAAAATATAAAAAATATTAGTATATAAGATATGAAACCTTATTGTTATTTTCATTAAATATATGAAAGCTTCAATAAATTAAACAATAATAACAAAAAAAACTTTCTAAAGGGTCAACTTATATGTTTAGCAGCTCCGAATAGCTTGATGAAAATATTGATTTTTATCAACGAAGGGAGGGGTTGAACTCCCGGTTCTTGCTGAAGAAAAGGTTATTGAGTTCCTGGATTTTCGTAGGACTGACTGGCGGGGTGTGGAAGATTATGTTTGCAATTTTGATTTTAGTCCTCTGTATCTTACAAGTGATGTTGACCAACAGTTGGCTTTGTTTGATTTGTTGTTTCAAAATTTTTTTGTCTTTTGTACCTACTGCTACCAGCTGTTCTCGGCCAAAAAATGATGCTTGGTTGGGGTTGGATGTGGTAAAATCGGCCTGTTACGTTAGGGATCAGGCTTATCTGGAGTGGCGTAGGCGTCCTACGGTTCGCAACAGGCAGATATTTTGTATGTATAGAAACCGCTGTAAGGCTGTCATGCGTAATGAAAGAAGGAAATTTTATGAGGAAATGTTTGGTCGCATGAGTAGTGTGCAGATATGGAAGTCGTTAAAGTCGTTTGGTTGTCTTGATGATGGTTGTGATGTCCCATTTATTGATGTCAATGCTGTTAATAATTACTTTTGTAGTGTTGGTAATTTAGATTCATCTCGTGATTTTGTTGTTAGTGAGGCCAATGATTTTGATTCTTTTAGATTTGACTGTGTGTACATGGATGATTTGTTTCGTGCTTTGCGGAATATTAAGTCAAATGCTGTAGGTGTTGATGGCATACCTATTAAGTTCTTCAAATGCGTATTCCCTTACATTTGTAGTCACTTTCTGCATTTTGTGAATTGTATTTTTATGACGTCAACCTTTCCACTTGCGTGGAAGGTTGCTCGTGTGGTGCCTGTGCCGAAGAAGGGGAGTTCTTATCATCAGACGAATCTTCGACCAATAAGCATTCTGCCGGCTATGTCGAAATTGGTTGAACATGTTATTAAGGATGCGATTGTTGATTTTCTGGATGACCATAAGTATTTGAGTAGTTCCCAGTTTGGGTTTCGGCGTGGTTCTAGCACCACGGTTCATCTTCTAGCCCTCACTGATCTCATTCGTGATGTGTTCAATAGTTCTGATGTTGGTTTGCTTGTTGGCCTTGATTTGTCTAAGGCCTTTGATTCTGTGGATCATACGCTTCTGCTCTGTAAGCTGAGAGACAAGTTTTGTTTCTCTCCTTCTTCGTGTAGATTGATATCGTCGTATTTGAGTGGAAGGTCTCAGTTTGTTGTGCACAGGGGTGTTCAGTCTGATGTTTGTGCTGTGCGGTGTGGTGTCCCACAAGGATCTGTGCTTGGCCCTCTGCTTTTTATTATGTTCATTAATGACATTGTGGGGTCTGTGTCTAATTCCAGTTGTGAAGTTTTCATGTATGTGCATTAGAAGTGCAGATCTCTTTGAGTTGGAAAATGTGGCAAACACTACTTTGAGATTGCTTTCTATGTGGATCTCCTCTAATGGTTTGTCTGTAAATTGATTTGTCTGTTCTGTTTAATGGTCCTCGTTATGTTCCTACGCCGTGCATCTGTGTTGGGTCCTTTGTGGTTAATGTTGTGAATGAGATGAGATGTTTAGGTGTAGTCATTGACACCAAGCTTAATTTTTCGGCGTATGTTGATTCGTTGCTGTCTCGTATGCGTTTTCAGATGCGGAGGCTATATAGTCTTCAAGCTCATTTGCCTCTTAGTGTTAGGATGATGGCTACCAGATCTTTATTAATGTCTCATGTCAACTATTGTTTGGAAGTCATCTCTGGGGCGAATGCTTCCCTAATTCTGCGCGTACGCAAACTTGTTAACTCTATTGTTAGATATGTGTTTGGGTTGCGCCGTAGTGATCGTGTAACACAGTATGTTATTAAGTTTCTTGGACTGTCATTTGACAGATATGTTGAATATCGCCTTCTTTTGTGTCATTACAGAATTATGAGGAATGTTAATTCTCCTTTGTATAATAAGTTTGTGTTTTGTAGATCATCTCGAAATCCGCAATTGCTGTTTCCAAGATTTTCGTCTGTAGTTAGTGAGAAGGCGTTTGTTGTGAGAGTTGCGAGATTGTGGAATCAGCTCCCTCTGGCCCTGCGTAATTTTACCTGTTCTTTTGATATGTACAAGAAGAGGTGTTTTGAATATTTGTCTGTTCATTGAGTTTCTGGTTGCGGGTAATATTTTGTTATTTCTTTTTAGTTATTGGCTGGGGGGCCATTTTTATGGTTGTTTATTTTCCATGTAGTACATAACTTTATTGATTTTTTTTCTTTTTTAAAGATTTTTTTTGCTATACTTGTAGTAGCTACATTCGCTCGTTTGGAAACGAGTGATGATTAGCGCTTAAGTGTATTGATGCCTCTTGCCTTTTTCCTCTCTACCTTGCTAAACTGTTGTTCAGCTTGGTAGAGGAGTTTTGTCTGAGGGTCTAATTGCTACTAAATTTAAATTATTATTATTATTAATATTATTTTTTTGTATATTTTTTACTATTCGTTGATAATTTTTGTTATTTATTTAGTTTTTTTAGGATTAATTTGGTTATAGACTGTTTTTATACTGTTGTATGTTAATATAAGATTTTGGCCATGTTGGCTTATTTATATTGAATTGTATGAAATAAATGAAATGAAAACAGAAAATTATGTGGCAAAAACATTTCAAATTCTTCAACTTGGAATGTTCATTCCTATTGGGGCTACGCTAAAATTTTGGTAAGGAGATTACCTTTCACAATCCATCATAGATATTATTCCAGAGAATTATTTATTATTTGGTAACCAAAAGCTAAAGTTGGGACAAAACAAATTTTGGGTTTTGTTAGAATAAAAAAACGTTTTTCATCGGAAAGTTAATTTCGTTCTAGTAGAAACATAAGTTGAATAAATAAATTTATCCAGAGTTCGCCACAGGTGAATAGTTGTAAATTACAATGTTCACGGGGTCTTTTGAGAATACTTCTTCTATCAAATCTTTTACTTTGTGCCACACCAAACCATCTAGGCCGCAACCAATCCTTGGCATTGCCAGATTAGATACATTATGCTCCACCTAAGAGAGTTATTGTTTAATTAAATTCAATAATAAGTTACTATTACTTTTATTACTTGCCATGTAATTTCTCATAGATACTAGTGAACTGTGTAGTGATTGATATGTCGGCTTTCCCCAGCTTTTTTCCTTTGTTACTAAATTGTAAATATATCTGGAATTGTGAGGTAAAACAGCCACTCCTCCTGGTTTTATATTTTGTTGTTGTAAAAATGAAATGTTTCCAAAAATATTCCTTTAAAAAACAAAAAGGATATGTTGAACAATTAGTTGATGACATTTTTCGTGCATATTTATTTATATTTAACAGGTTAAATTGTGAGTAAAATAAATTAAAAAGGCGTATAGTTTGTTACTAATATTTGTTTAAGGCAGACAAGAAGTTGCTACCCAGACAATGAAGTTTTAATTTTTGTTTATTTACCTCCCGACATTGCCACATTTTTTCACGGATTTGTATAAAAATTGGTATTTGTAGTTCGTAATGCGTTCTAGCGCGGGTGGCGAAACATTGCATGTATAGGTCCACGATTTAGTATAGTCCCAATATAACGGTATTTCCTGATATTCGGTATTTTGATCGTTTTTGCCACATTTTTCACGGATTTGTCTGAAAATTGCAATTTGTTGGTCATAATGGGTCCTAGTTCGTATGGCGAAACATTGTATGTATAGGTCCAGGCTTTGGTATAGCCCCCTTTTAAGGTACCTCCCAATGTTCTGTATTTGGATGATTTTGCCAAATTTTTTCACGGATTTGTCTAAAAATTGATATTTGTTGGTCATAATGGGTTCTAGCTCCGGTGGCGAAACATTTTATGAATAGGTCCACGTTTTTGTATAGTCCTATAGAGCGGAACCTCCCGTTATTCGGTATTTTTATGATTTTTGTCACATTTTCCCATGAATGTGTCTAAAAATTGGTATTTGTGGGTCATAATGGGTTCTAATGTTTCCTTTACTTTAAGTTGGAGGGTATTAAAATGTTTTTTTACTTGTTTTATTAATTCAAATTTCACCCTCTTCCTGTCAATCGATTAATCTGAAATTTTGTATACACTTTGGATTTTGGTGACAATACATTTATGTTTATTCATTATCATTATAAATCCAAGATGGCGGCCGCTACAAAATGGCGGGTAACGTGGGTTTTATCAATCCCATCAATATGGGTATCAAATGAAAGGACTCAACAAGCAGATATTGTGTTCTGCTATAAAATGAAAATCCAATATAGCGGTCTCTACAAAATGGCGGACAACTTAGGTTTTATCAATTCCATCAACATGGGTATCAAATGAAGTCTCAACAAATATAATACAATTTAATATGCAAATTTGAAATCTATGATGACCGCCGCTACCAAATGGCTGATAACAATTTTTTATCAATCCCACCTCAATATTTAAGATGTGCGCAGCCACTAAATGGCGTAAAATAATAAGATTTAACTTTAGAAATTGCACCTGTAATTTAAGTATCTGATTAATTCAGCCAAATCCACCACCTACCACAGACAATCCCACGGCGGCCGGTTCTATGTACCGGATTGACTCGGAGGCACATATCTCCGGCCAGGGGCCGCCAACCCAGCAAATACATGTTCGTGTTCGTCCATTTTTCTGATGTGGGAGCAACATTACCCGGAATGTTTGCTCCGTATTCTCTTGGTCCGAGCCGGGATCGAGAAATTTGTCGTAATCGCATCCACCACAGATCGGTTTCGGTGAGATGCAACGGATGCATGGAGTGGGTGCATTTCCGGAATTGTTCCGGCCTAAACCGGATACAGGAGTATAGCGATAGGGACTACATTGCTTCCTGCTGCGTCAATGTAGACCCCAGTGAGTCTTCATCTTCAGCGTCCTCATCGTCGTCGCAATATGAGACTCCCCCGCAATCTCCTCAACAGCAACCTACGCAGCAGTTGACGCCACACATTGCTGTTTAGGTTCCGGATAATGCATCATTTCTCCAATTTAATTGTGATGGTCCCAGAGGTAAGATTAACGAAATTGTAAGCTTTATGAGTCGGAAGAACATCAAGGTCGCAGCGATCCAGGAGACGAAGCTGAGTACCACCTGCAGGCTTCAAAGTTGTGATGGATACAACGTACTGAGGAAGGATCGCTCCAGAGGTGGAGGTGGAGGATTAGCGTTCCTATTGCACCACTCTGTCCAGTACAGACCTATCTCGCCTGAGCTTGACTCTAGTGACCCGTACATGGAATGTATGGGGGTAGCGGTCAAGTGTGGAACCGCCAAGGTAGAGGTGCTCAACGTGTACATTCCGCCGTTAAATAGCTGTGCCCCACGTTATATGCCTAATATCAGTTCACTACTGGTAGGCAATAACCGTCTGGTGCTAGAGGATTTCAATGCCCATCATGAATTATGGCATTCCGTCCTAGGTAATGACCAGAGAGGCATGGCGCTGGCTGAGCAAATCGATAGCTCCACGTTTTGCACAGTGAATGAGGACCCGCCCACCAGAATAAGGGGAGACTGCCACAGTTCTCCGGACATATCCATCGTGTCCCCAGGTCTGACGAATGACGTAACATAGCAATCAGTCATTTCACTAGGCTCAGACCACCTCCCCATTATTATCGCCATCAATAGACCACCCGACTTCATCGACTCTGAACGCCGCACTTTCCTTAACCACGGTAAAGCTAATTGGCAAGAATTCAGAGAGTATACCAATCGCCGCTTCAGAGAACTGCCCAACCCATCTGATGTTCAGGTAGCAGATAGGTATTTCCGGGACATCATCAAAGCTGCAGCCGCTCGCTATATACCTGCTGGTCGAATACCTGAAATAAGACCAAATTTCCCAGCAGAGGCAGCGGGATTAGCAAACGAGCGAGATGAGCTTCGCCGTACTAACCCTAATAACCCCAGAGTCAGGGAACTTACTCTGGAGGTAAACAGGTTAGTAGGTGAGCATAAGCGGAAAAAGTGGTTAGAACATCTGAAGCATTGCAACATCGGTACCGGAACGAGTAAATTGTGGGCAACGGTTAAGTCGCTTTCGAACCCTGGAAAAAAGGACGATCGGACATCTGTCTCATTTAACGGCGTAGAAGTGACAGATCCGAAGAGGTGCGCGTGTTATTTTAACCGGCAGTTTGTAGAGCACCCCGAGAGTGACAGGGCGAAGAGAAGGATACTACGCCGTGTACGATCCCTTCCAGCCGAGGAGGTACCACCACAATTTACGTTGGCAGATGTTGCACAGGTCATCAGAAGCGCAAAGTCATCCAAAGCGCTTGGTCCTGACGGAATCTCAATGGTGATGTTGAAGCAACTGGATGAACCAGGAGTTGAGTATCTGACAAAGCTTCTCAATCTGTCGTTAGCCACCCTAGTAGTTCCCGATGCCTGGAAAATGGGCAGGGTGGTCCCGCTACTGAAACCAGGCAAGGATGCCAGCAAAAGTGATTCATACAGGCCGATATCACTTTTGTCACCAGTAGCAAAGACGCTTGAGGCTTTACTCCTCCCCAGCATAAGAGAGTGTTTCCCAGTAGCCGATCATCAACACGGATTCCGGAAATGGCATAGCACAACAACAGCTTTACACGTCATTTCCACACATGTCAGTAGAGGTCTCAACCAGAGCAGGCCGTGCGATAGAACAGTTATGGTGGCACTTGATTTATCAAAAGCCTTTGATACAGTCAATCATGCCACACTGTTCGAGGACATTGAACGCACCACCCTCCGGCCAAGTTTGAAACGTTGGATAGTAAACTACATGTGTGGACGCCAGTCGTACGTGGAATTCAGAAACAAGAAGTCGAGCATCCGTAGAGTTAAACAGGGAGTTCCCCAAGGTGGGGTGATATCTCCGGAACTGTTTAACCTCTACCTTTCTGAAATTCCACGCCCTCCAGACGGCATAGAGATTATAACGTACGCAGATGATTGTACGCTCGTGGCGTCCGGACCCATTATTGATGACATTTGCGATCGGTTGAACACTTACCTTGTTGATCTTACCGCCTTTTTCACTGGGAGGAATATGAAGATATCCGCCACTAAGTCGACGGCCACACTTTTCACCACATGGACTGCGGAGATGGGGCTATCCTTGAATGTGCAGGTCGATGGTTCTATTATTCCGACCACCAACAACCCCAAGGTATTAGGGGTCACATTCGATAGCCTCTTTAAGTCGTCCGCGCATACCACAGCTATCTGCGACAAGATTAGAAGTAGGAACAAGGTCCTCAAGTCTCTGGCCGGCAGTACTTGGGGAGCTGATAATGAAACCTTGTTGACCTCTTACAACGCGATAGGCCGGTCTGTGGTAAACTATGCGGCTCCAGTGTGGTCCGCTAACGTCAGTGCTACGCAGTGGAAAAATGTTCAGTCCTGCCAGAATGCCGCCCTTAGAACCGCAACAGGGTGCCTTCTCATGACACCTGTCGATCACCTACATGAGGAGGCGAAGGTCTTACCGGTGCGACAGCATAACAAAATGCTGTCAATGCAATACCTGCTTGGGTGTTATAGACAAAGCCATCCAAATCACCATCTTGTGGATAGGCAACCTCCGCCCAGGCACGTTAGGAAAGACCTTCATGATCTAGAGAGAGAGGTACAGAGGTATAAGAGAGAGCCTCTAGATCAACAGGCCTATCAAGCGGGACTGAATAGTATTCACTCTAATGCGGTCTCAGAAGCCATTGAAGGATATAGAGTGAATACTGTGCTAGGAGACCATCCCCCTCCCGTCGCAGCTGAAGAACGAGAGCTGCCCCGACAAACCCGAGTAGTCTTGGCTCAATTACGATCCGGATGGTGCAGCCGCCTAAATTCCTGCTGGGCCCGGATCAACGGCGACGTGCAGAACATCTGCCCAGCATGTGGCACAGGCCCACATGACACGCTGCACTTATTTCGCTGCCCAGCCAAGCCTACTCACCTAACTCCAGTCTCGTTATGGACACAACCCATACAGGTTGCATCCTTTTTGAGACTGGACTTAGAGGCAGAACCCGATTGAACTGAGTCAGAAAATGGAAACCAAACGAACACAGATGTATGAGCTGCTACAACAACAACAACAACCTACCACAGAAACTGCAACTAAGGCTTGAAAAAGCGAAAGTATAACAGGTATGTCAACAGTGTCCTGAAACTATTTGCGAATAATGAGGCAACAATGGCATCAGACAGAATTTTTGATTGGCAAAATAAGAATCGATTAAGGCAAATTAAGAACTG